CTTGAAGGATTCAGTGCAGCTTTTTGAAGAAACCAATCGATGGGATCCAGCTCTTTGTCATGTCATGATCTCAAGCTTTTCCTGGCATGGTCATTKGAGGGATTCTCTRAGGCTTTKTGTTTATACCTTGAGGGAGAACCTGAGGCCAACTGAGATTACACTCAGCAGTGTGCTGAGCTCTATCTCAGTCTTCACACCTGTGGAGTTGGKTAGTCAAATCCACAATTTGGTTCTTAAGTTGGGTTTTGAATCTGACGCCATTGTCGCTAGTTTGCTAGTAGACATGTATGCTAAAGTTGGWTCAGTTGATAATGCCATGAAAGTCTTTACAGATATGCCTGTAAGAGATTTGATATCTTGGAACACTATGATTATRGGTCTGGTTAAGAATGRCAAATACATTGAGGCCCTTCACACTTTCAAAAGTTTGGTTTTGGAAGGTGTACTGGCAGATAGGATAACACTAGCAGGGGTGTTATTAGCCTGCAGCCGTGCAGGTTTTGTCGACGAAGGGTTGGCCATCTTCTCTGTGATGGAGAAGAAACACGTAGTCGCACCGAGGAACRAGCATTATGCGTGTGTGGTGGACTTGCTGARTCGTRCTGGTAAATTTGAAGAAGCAGTTAACATTATCAAAACAACAACATGCCAACCAACTCCTACATTTTGGAAATCACTCCTYAATGCYTGTGCAATTCATGGAGACTTGAACTTCATTGAAAGAGTTGCAGAAACTGTGATGAAGCTGGATCCACAATCATCCCTACCGTATTYCGTGCTGGCTCAAGCTTACGCGATGAGAGGTCGATGGGAAAGTATGGTTCGTGTCAAGACGGCCATGGAGAATATAGCTGTGCAGAAGACGAAGGCGTGCAGCTGGGTTGTGATAAAAGATAATGTATATGCTTTTGAKAATGACCGATTACAACAACTTCRRGGCRAAAATTTCGTTTCGGCATTGGAKTTACTTATTTGGGAGACAGAAGATGAATATATGTGTCTATAAACAGGGGGAACAATACATTAGAAATGTCTTGTTATATTCATGATCTGAGGATA